GGTATGTCCTTGCCAATCAAATTTGAAGGGTTATGTCTAAGGATGGACTAAGTTTTTATGTTTTACAGGTCTCAACCTCCCCTGCTTAAAAGGTTAAACATTAGGTTGCCTGAGGTATCGTGCCCATCGAGCGTGGATAAGGTCGGCTGATGGCGGGCATTGGAAGGATTTTTTATGACGAGGGGGGAGGTGAGAGGAAATGGTGATTAGGAACCACTGGATGTTTATTGGCAAGGACGGTTGGGTTTCTGCATAGAACGTTTTGTTATTATATGTATATATGTTAATTTACGATTACCGTATTTATCGGCGTATAACACGCACCTCATTTTAAGAAGGAAATTTCAGGGAAAAAAAACTTAAAGGACTACTATAGTGTCAGGAAAACAAGTATGTTATAACAGTGAGAGCACGCAAGCGTCCATAGGAAAGCATTGTAAATGCTTTCCTATGCGACCGGCTGAATGCGCGCGCGGCTCCTGCCGCGCGTGTGCATCCAGCCGATGACGTCGCGAGCAAGGAGGAGAGGAGGAGTACAGCTCCCCGCCCAGCGCTGGAGAAAGGTAAGTGTTTAACCCCTTCCTTTCTCCAGAGCCCGGCGGGAGGGGGTCCCTGAGGGCGTATAACACGCACCTCATTTTAAGAAGGAAATTTCAGGAAAAAAAAACTTAAAGTATGTTTTCCTGGCACTATAGTGGTCCTTTAAGTTTTTTTCCCCTGAAATTTCCTTCTTAAAATGAGGTGCGTGTTATACGCCCTCGGGGACCCCCTCCCGCCGGGCTCTGGAGAAAGGAAGGGGTTAAACACTTACCTTTCTCCAGCGCCGGGCGGGTAGCTGTACTCCTCCTCTCCTCCTTGCTCGCGACGTCATCGGCTGGATGCACACGCGCGGCAGGAGCCGCGCGCGCATTCAGCCGGTCGCATAGGAAAGCATTTACAATGCTTTCCTATGGACGCTTGCGTGCTCTCACTGTGATTTTCACAGTGAGAAGCACGCAAGCGCCTCTAGTGGCTGTCAATGAGACAGCTACTAGAGGCTTTGGAGGCTGGATTAACTCAGTATAGCCAGCAAGTTTCTCCTGAAACTGCTGCGTTTACAAAAAGTGGGTTAATCCTAGGACCTGCCACCTGTGACCACTTCATTAAGCTGAAGGGGTCTGGGGTGCCTAGAGAGTGGTCCTTAAATTTCAAATAAAGAAACTTCTTACCCCCTCTTTCTTTACTCTTCTTACTTCCCCTCCCCTCTCTTTTTACCCCTCTCTCTTTACTCCCCTCTCTCTCTTAGCCCCCTCCCCCTCTTCTTAGCTCCCCTCTTCTTAGTTTCAGAGTAGAAAGCCGTCCTGCAGTCATGTAATGGCCGGCGATAGGAAGGTGCACGCTCAGTGTGCACCTTCCTGTCAGTCCGACCGGGTACAGGAAACAAACTCCTGTTCCGCGCGGAACAGGAGTTTCTGTTTCCTGTACCCTTTGGACTGACAGGAAGGTGCACACTGAGCGTGCACCTTCCTATCAGTCCGGCCGGCCACCGCGGACTGCAGAGCGGCTCAGCCACGCTACAGGGAAGGTAAGTACCAACTGCAGCCGCCTGAGCGCTCTTAACAGAGCGCTCAGGCGGCTGCAGAATTTAAAGGGCCGGCGTATAACACGCACCCACGATTTCTCCCCTATTTTCAGGGAGAAAAAAAGTGCGTGTTATACGCCGATAAATACGGTATTTATTTCTAACAGAAAGAAGAGTTTAATAAATAAAGTTATGGATGTGTTATGCAGTAAGTTATTTATGTTATAATAAATGCCGTGGCCTGTTCATCCATACTAAGTTGTCTGTCATTTTTTTTTATTTTTTTATTGGGGTTATCTATGTTATGTGGTATCGTAATTCCCCACTACGTACATACATGTAAAGCAAGAGTTAAAATAAGCCACTGGAGTCTCGTAAGGGGGAGTCCACGCTGCCTTCTGGGATCAGCTTTCATGAAACTGCTGGTGTAGACACATGTGGAAACCCGCTTGATCATCTGGTCTTGGCTTCCTGTTGAAGAGTAATAGTTGCAGAGTCCAAACAGAAATGGTGGTCTGGTAAGCACCACTCCGCCATCCCTAAGCTCTGCTTGTGCCTGCCACCTGTGCCCACGGTTACGGGGCCACTAGGGGCCAGTAACAGATCCTGGCTGGGATGTTCTGCCCAGGAGTGGGGTTGGAGGGGTGTCCTCTTGGGGCTCAAAGCCCAGGAAGGCAGTCATGGGGACCAGTCCTGTATGCCGGGCCGGGAGAATTGGAAGATTGGCCAGTCGAAATTCCATTGCCGTTCACTGCTGAGACAAGTCCAGGGGTGAGAGCTGCGGTCAGCAGACGCCATGGCTTGTAAGGTTGTCCACAGTCGGCAGAGCTTTGTAGGCCATGCGGACATCATTTTGTGGATCGAGTGCGGGAATCCATCCGCTTGGCAAGTTCAGCAGAGGTGATCTGTGTGATGTCAGTTTCCTCCAGTGGGGACCGGGATAACCCTCACCGGTCCAAAGACGGAGGAGTTGGGGTCCATTAGGATTATCACCGCGCTGTTGCATGACATATGAGCAAGGCAGTGGCATTCTGTCTCGCTTCTTTCCCAATTAGGCTGCAGGCTCTAGAGCTTTGTGTCACCCTCATGTGGCATCAAAACTCCTGGTCTTGGGGTCAACGGTAGTGCCAACAGCCTCCTGCTTGGACTGTAGCAATGTGCCCCAATTTGCAACCAAAATCTGCAGGAGCTGGTACTACACGCGACTGGTCAGTATTGCGGCCAGGCCCTGCCCAGAGCGTCCCGTCCCGTCCCCCCCACACTTTGTATAAATTCTAACTTTATTGAAGAACACTGCACATCCTCAAACAACCCAAAAAAA